GGGCATCTGCTAAAATTTAAACACTTAGTCTGACTTGCCCCCAAACCAATTAAACTTACCTGGAATGAACTCCTAAGTGATTTGCAACTTTAAATCACCTTGAGTTTCTATTATGACTTTGTGGAAGACTTGCCTTTTTATGTCTCCTATTGCTATCCCAGTTCCCCTCTCTGTGTCTAACCTACAGAGAAGATTAAGACAAAACTGCTGCTAACATCCCTGCCTGTTTGTAAGGAACATCCTTCTTTCTACTAACTTCTTCCTTCTTCCTCACAGACAGAAGCTTTTGAGCAGCCTAGGGAGCAAGGTAGTTTGTTTTAATAACAAATTGAAAACCCTTTTTTCAGTAGGTACTGCTGAGGTAGGAGCATTTTCACAGATATGCAAGTTGAAAACTACAAGGAGGAAGAAGGATACATAGACACCAAAAATGTAGTGGGAGAAAGAAAGGCAAGATTTTTGATATGTTTATTGAGAGGAAGCTCCCAAAAATTATGAGGAAATTATTGTTTTCCTAAACACCATCAAATTGTTCAAGGGTGGATTCACCTTACATGGCTTAGACATCAGGACATAGGTGCCTGTGCTCATGCCAGTTATCCCAGCAAAAAACAAGCCTCTGGAAGGTCATTTACTTCATTTCAACACCAACCAGCCCTTGGAAGTCCTCATTTCCCTTCACTGACTCTAAAGGGATCCGTGGAGGAGTTGCTGCAGCACAAATGTCTCACTCTGAGCTGTCAGGAGAAGGCAGGCAAATCCTAACCCACAGCTCTGTACCATCACCTATATGTAAAAGCTATGATGAAAGTGCATTTGTGATTAATCACACATCCTTACAAGTTGGGGAATTCCATGTAATAGTTCCCTTATGAACCATAAGACACACTTCCTGTCAGCTTAATGTTTTCTCTAAAGGTGTGCAGCAACAATTGCTCCACCAGAGCTCAGTGTTTTGGACCAAGTTACAGTTTCTAAGGGAAGCATAACTTTGCCTTGATTTGAATGCAATTAAATTCTCTGCCATAATAGCAGCATAATGACAAGAATATTTTTTCTTTATTTCCTCAGCTTGGAAATTAAAAGGGAATAACACACATTGGTGCACAAGGAAATGGACCTTCAATTCCATACAGACAGCAGTATTCTCAAGTCAGTGTGTTTTCCTTTCTGGTATGGAAAGGGATGCAGGAAAACCCAATTATATATTTCTTTTTAATGCCCACTTCCTGTGCATGAAAAGGGGGAAGTTGTGCCAGCAGTTAGAACATGGACTCAGCCATGGTTTGTAGCTTTTCTTCTCAGCCCTCTCTCAACTGAATCCTTGTTTGCCAGCCTGAGATGTTGAGACCTGAGACTTGATCTGATAAAAGCTGTGTACAGGTTTAAGTTTGCACATGGCACACAGTGCTGTGATGCTGATAAATGCCCTGGGTAGAGCACAAATGATGATTTCACCCATGTCAGTTCTACTGCTCGAAGCCATCCTTCAACTAGTCATGAACTTAGAACACTGTTTGTTTGGGAATTTTTTTTGTGTATAAAATACATGAAAAAATCCCAAATTGTTCATTACTCTTATAGTCATCTGGTTTTGCTTTATTTTCTTGCAAGCAGTGCTTTTATGGGCCCCTGAAAGACTGATTTACATAAAATTTAACAGTGTTTATCTCCTAATGTAGGAGATACAGTTGAGATCTTATCACAACAAGTAAACTGCTGTTACTGTTATTGGGACAGGTTCTCTTTTTGTCACTTACATCTGTAAATTAAAACTTGGCTTTAACTTGAAACTGTGTGTATTCCTGAGGTGTGGGAGTGGTTCTGTGCTTTGCAAACAGCTATGCCAGAGAAGAAATCACCAGCGAGCAGTGTCCCTCCCAAAAGGAGAGCTGCACCTCTCCCCAGGATGAGGTAGAACAGCTCACACAAGTGTTCTCTGCATAATTTAGTGTCAGAATGAGCTGTGTTAAAGCATAAGAGGCTTAAAGAGAAAGTCATGCAAGCCTGACTTGTACTGAGAAACAAATGTGCAGCCTAGAAGAAAATGTTCTTGGCTTTTTTGGTGCTAACCCAGTAACGAGCAGAACTCAGCCTGTGCTTTGCATCCAGTTCTGCACCTCGAAAGCCAGAGGGACCTGAAAGCCTGCTGGTGACCTGAACAGGACCACAGCACCCAATCCTCACTTGCCACTCCTTCCCTGGGTTTTCAGACTATATATTGTTTGTTTAGAGAAGTGCCATAATAAAAGGGGGAGTGGTGCTGGTGAACTGGACCTTCAGGCACACAAATAAAAGTCGATCCTGGGAGTGGATTTGGTGATCCCTGTGGGCCCCTTCCAGCTCGGTGTTGCATGATTCTGTGATTTTCACTGATTTATCTTACTCTAGCACAGGCACATGGCCTAGGATTCCATTCCCAGCACGAAGCATTCTTCAGGCTCAAACCCCAGGGTACTGACTTTGGCAGTATCTGTGCTGCATCCAAATGTTGAACAGTTGACAATTCAAGTTCCTGCTTAGTCTTTCCTCTCTCAGCCCTTGCCTGAAAAAACAAGACAGTTTTGATAAAACTGTTAATCTGGAATTAGGACCTCAGGATTGAATGCTCCGCCACAGACCTTTTCTTCTTGTTTATACAGCTTCCAAAATGTGGGTGGTTTATTGGAGGGTTTATCTACCTATTTTCTCTTATCTTTCCTAATTGCAAGCTCAGGTATAAAGAGAATAATTGAATCTGCAGAGTAAATAAACAAGCACTGCACATAGAACTGGGATCAGTAAAGATTGCCTGAACATTCCCAGGTGTATCTGTAGGTTTCTCCTACAGCTGGGCTTGCTTTGTGTCCCAGGGTTTTGATGTAGGCCCTGCTCTGTGATGATGAAGTTGTGAAACAGAAAACTCTGGAGAATTATGCAGTGTTAAGTGACGCAGAATAATCTTTGACTCTTTAAAAATATTTCATTCTCCTTTTTGCCCTCTGAACAGGTGTAGTGCTGGGTGAGGTGAATGAGAGCAGTTCCTACTTCCAAGGGCATTATTTATTCAGAGATAATTATTTATTGGTTAAAATGCATTCTCTAATAGGCCCAGAATTAGCAATCCATGTTTTCCTGTATTGCAGATTAACATCCATTTCCATTTTAATAACTACAGTGAGTGCAACAAGCAAGGCCAGACTGTGCAAAACAAATGTCTGCTAATTTGTAGTCTTTTAAATATGTAAAGCTAGTCTTTGATGTTAATACACCATTAAAAAGGAGCTGGGAAGTTCACATGTCTGTTCCTGTGTCGCTTGTCAAGCAGCAGAACAGCTCAAAGAGTAGCTTGCTGGTTTGCAGCATCAAACTCACCTCAACAACTTTGGCATCCCGCAAAAAAATTTTGGTACTTGACATCTTAAAATTTTATAGAACGTGCAAAATGCATGGGAGGGAGCTGCATCTGCAGGGCTCATGCCTTTCTGTGCCCTTTATTCCTTCTCCAGCAGCAGCAGCAATGTGGTCCATGTGAGCCTGACTCGGCTTCTCCTGCAGTCCTGGGGGATGGAGGAAGAGCCACATCACCCTGGCAGTCAGAGTTCACAGTGACCCTACTTTCCAACCCCAGGGATTGTGTTTGCAAACATCCTTGAATATCAGCACAGTCAGGAAATAGTTCAATGTTTTGGGACTACAACACTTGAAGGGAAAATGAATTTGTCATTGTGAGGTTGACTATAGCCAGGGTTGAGGTGGTAACAATTAATAAAAATCCTGAAACTGTTTCTGGCAGCAGCTTGTGCAGTTTTAGTTTTTCTTCTGAACTCCTGTTAATTGGGAAAAATGTGCAGCAATTTCACTTATTCTTCTATAAGGTGAGCCATGACTGCTCTCATTTCTCCCATTTCTGAAGTGAAGAGCTTCACTGAAGTATCAGGAAATCATCAGTGCCTTTCAGAAGATAAACCAGGGTAACTTAGGCACTTGAAACAGTTTTCAGCTTGAAACATAGACAGTTGTGCTGATAGCAGCTACCTGATCCAAGTAATGGTCTAATTTTCACCCCTAACAAGTAGGACACAGGTACAGCACATATACTTTTGGCACAGACAAGTGAACTGCATTCCCAATTTTAGGGGAAGACAGACAGAGTCTCATTAGCATTGCTGTATTGATAGAACTGAGGCAACATGCGAGGCATGCACACACTGATTGCACTGCAGTACTGTGATGAAAGCCAATTCCTTTTTCCCCCTCATAAATAGGCCAAACTGGTGCTTCTACACCAATATTTTACCTGCTATCTTATGAGGCTTGTTCTTTTCTTTTGGCACAGAGGTGGAGCTGCTTTCAAAAGAAGACAACCAGGTACAATTTCCATACTCAAATACATCCTGATCTTTCATATTTCCAAGAGTTTTGAGGGGCTTATTATTATAAAAATAATGATAATTTCATCTTTGCAAATATTTGTCTCTGGTTACTTTTAGTCCATGATTCTCCCAGATCCAAGTCAATTCATTCCCACAGCAGCAGGAGAACTGAAGAAGGAAAGTCAGTTTCTGTTCTCATGTACAAAACAGTCAGGATGAAATTTGTCCTCTTGCAGGAACAACCCCCAGCACTTGGTTTTGACATTAAACCTGTAATTTATTTGTGAGCTATTACTAAATTAATACCTGGTTTGAGCATCACTAGGCAGGGGCAGAGCACAAGGCCCAGCTGATGGTACTCTTAGTACTAAAATTATCTTAGATATCTGTTTATCATTTTACAGCTTCTAAAAATAGCTCTCTAGTATGCACTGTCTCATGTCAGAAATGAGTAAAACAAACACCAGAAATCAGGGAAATAACTATTTTCTCCTTTAAACATATAGGTGATTACATAAGAGTGGCAGGCAAAGACTCCACTGACAAATTTGCGCATAAGGAAATGGATTTTCATGTAAGTAATTATTATGAATGTTAACTAGCTGCACACATCATCAGGAAAACATCAGAGACGTTTGTTTGTGGAGGCTAAACAAAATATGTTTGCTTCCTGCTGTTCTTTTATGGGCATTTTTATTGGAAGCACAGTTTACAGAGGCATAGCAATCATATATATTTCACTGTAAAAGCACCATGTTTCTTTGGAAACAGTATCAGGCTCTCTGGAGAAAAACAAAGTTGACCAAACTTCACAGTTATCAACCTAGAGTTGAAAATATTCCATCTTCTGGAATGTCTTGATGTTGTTTACGTGCACCTTTCTGGTAGTGATTTCCAGTGCAGCAAAAAGTAATTAATTTCTAGAAAGTTGAAGGTAGAAATTACTTCAAGTGGGATCTTGCCAAGGGTTTGGCAAACAAACTGTTATTTATTTCAACATTTTCATTGTGGTGAAGGAAAAATGTCCTTAGATGAAAACTTACCTGCCTGGTTTATTGGATGACAGTAAAACTGTAAGTATGAAAAGGATGTAGGCTTGCTGGAGTCTTTCTAGTTCACATGGCAGCACTTCCTGGCAGGAACAGTCTGAGACAGCTTTTATAACCCAATCTTCAAAGAGGCCTCACCTCCATCTCCAGTTTTTCAGTTGTTTTCATGAAAAACTCTGCCTCTGTGAGCAGAAAAACACAGGTTTCCAGTGAAAGTTTGGGTGCATGGTGACATAGAACTGATAGGCATTGCATTCCTGGGAAAACAACTTCCATGCTGAGGAAGAGAATCACTCTCTGTCCCCATCTGAGTGGGGCATGGACACCAAAGGCACAGGGGGCTGTGTTTGAGATCCACAGGAATATCCCAGAGGCAGGTGCCAAGAGGATGGTGCCAGACTCCTTTTAGTGGTGTGAGGATGAGGCACTGACAGGATGAGGAGCAATGGACAAAAAGTAAAATACAGGAAGTTTAACAACATGGAACCATGGAATATCCAGAGTTGGAAGGACCCACATGGTCATCCAGTGCAGCCCCTGTCCCTGCCCAGACACCCCAACAATCCCATCCTGTGCATCCCTGGGAGCGTTGTCCAAACTCTCCTGGAGCTCTGGCAGCCTTGGGGCTGTGCCCATTCCTTGGGAAGCCTGGGCAGTGCCAGCACCCTCTGGGGGAGAACCTTTTCCTGAGCTCCAGCATAAACCTCCCTGGCCCAGCTCCAGCTGTTCCCTGGGTCCTGTTCCCGGGCACAGAGAGCAGAGATTGGAGCTGTCCTTCCACTTCCATAGGGAAGAACTTTCCATTGAGGGTGACAGAGCCCTGGAACAGCTGTCTAGGGAAGGTGTGGAGCCTCCAGCTCTGAAATGTCCCAAACCCACCCGTGTCACCTGCTCTGGGTGACCCTGCCTTGGTGAGGGGTTGGACTGCATCGTCTCCAGAGGTCCCTCCTACCCCACCGATTTATTCAAATACATTATTCTGTATTTGTGCATCGTGACCTCAGCTATCTCCAGAGGTCTCTCCTACCCCCACCGATTTATTCAAATACATTATTCTGTATTTGTGCATCGTGACCTCAGCGGGCACCGGGTGCCTCCCTGCTCAGAGCCCCTGCCCTGCGACACCGTGGATCCGAGTGCGGGATGAGCAGTGCCGGTACCCGGGATCCGAGTGCGGGATGAGCGGGGCCGGTACCCGGGATCCGAGTGCGGGATGAGCGGGGCCGGTACCCGGGATCAGAGTGCGGGATGAGCACTCCAGGTACCCCGGGATCAGAGTGCGGGATGAGCGGTGCGGTACCCGGGGTCCGAGTGCGGGATGAGCACTCCCGTTACCCCGGGGCCCGAGGGCAGGATGAACACTCCCGGTAGCCCGCACCCGCGGGGAACCGGCGGCTCCTCCCCGCGGTGACGGCCCCGCGCCCGCCCCGCCCCGCCCGCTCCGCCCCGCCCGCTGCCCGAGAGGCCCGCCCGGGAGCCGCAGCCGCCCGCCGCCCGCTCCGGCCCGGGGGAGCCGCTCGGAGCGCGGCTGCCGAGGTGAGCGCCCGGGGCCGGGACAGCGCGGGCCGGGGGGAGCCCCTCCATCCTCCGCGGGGCCGCTCCCCCGCTCCTCTTTCCATTGCCTTATTTCTCGTATCCCGACCCCCCTCGCCGCCGCCTCCGGGCGATGTTTTATTCATGGCCCGGCGGGCTTTGTGCGGAGCGGGCTCGGACCCGCGGCCCGGCGGGGAAATGGCTGCGGGTGGGCGGCTCGGAGCCCCCCGGGCCGGGGGCTCGGCTGCGGCTGCACGGCCGGGGCGGCAGCCAGCCCTGCGAGCCGCTCTCCGGCGGGCTCTGTGCGTGCGGCTGAGTGTCGGTGTCCGTATCTATTTACGTTCTTTTTCGGTGTTCGTTCGGCGGATTGCAACCCCGGCCGCTCGTGCGCCGGGCGGCACTTACACCATCGCCGAGTTAACTGTAGATGTCAGGCTGGGCTTGCTCTGGGGTGATGTCAGATTGGTAATAACGCGCAGAAATGGGAATCCGGTGCGGGGAGAGCGTGATGGGGACGGCACAAGCCCGGCTGGCGCGGGCAGAGCCCCACTCCGGCGCAGGGCCTGCCGCGGGGGCAGTGCCCCGGCGCGGGCGGAGCGAGGGGCACCGCGGTAACCAGCGATTATTTGGGTAGCTGCCGCCTCGGAGGAGCGGATATTTATGCCTGGAGCAGAGATACTTGGCTGGTTTTGCCTTACGAAGGTATTCAGGCGTGTTTTGGTTAGAGTCGGCTGATGCCTGCCTTGTCTGCCAATTGTGCCATAAGGCAGCCTCCTCGGCTAGCATCGGTCCAGAGGAGGAATTCTGTTGTGTGCTGTGGAAAGCTGGCTGTGATCGATAGGCAGTGTAATGTTAGCTCCTGATACCGCCTCTGATTTCTCCCAAGCTGATCATGGACCAGTGAACTAAAGCTGAGAGATGCTGAAACACATCCCTCACGTTACTCAGTTCCCCATTCGCCTGCCCTTCACTTTCCCTGGGCCCTGGCTGGTTGGCTTTCAATGGAAAAATTCTGGTTCTGGGCCTGTTCAAAGAAATCCATGTGTTTTGCTTTTGCTTGTCTAACTTGCTGTTTAATAATAGCTGTGAGGCTGAAAATCCCTGTGCCCAGGGGCTGGGGGATATTTGCCCTTCCATACAAGTGAAGTTAACCGATACTGCCTGATGCTGTTTAACCTTGTATTATCTTAGGTGTCATATGATGAGGCAGCTTGATTTGTTTAAGGCTTTGTGATGATGCAATGCAATAATAATTATAAATCTTCTCATTGTCTGAAGAATCTTTAAATACTACTCTGTCTTGGGAGGTACTTCATATGTGTTTATTCCCAAGAGGCATAGGCATGGGTGAGCAGATGATATTAATCACGTTCATTTTGGGGGTGGGAGCAGTTTGGCACAGGTGCTTTAAGTTGTAATTTATGGGTGTGATGTCATGTGCTAGATAAGCTTTCATAGGATCTGCCATGTAAATTACAGCCTTTGTTTATATACGTGCAATTTCATGTTTTGGAAATCCACGCTGTATCGTTTGCTCGCGAGCCTGCGCCCGAGCTGTGGCTGAGCTTCAGTTGCGCAGTGGAGCTCAGGGCTCGAGAACATTTTGCTTTTTTGCCTTGTGCTCACAGCCTGCTCCAGGTGCAAATGTACCCCGTGGTATCTGTGTGTGGTGAGTGGCTGTGAAAACAGTGGCCAAGTACTTGATTTGTTTTCTTCTTTCTCCCTGAGCTGGTCTATTTCGTGCTTTAGAAGAAGCGGGGTGCTGAAATGACTGATTTCAACTCATGTGTGCTGGAGAGAGCAGCTTGGTTATTTCAGGCTGCTGTGGTTTGTTATGCAATCAGATTAACAAAGGTTGAAATGATCATTCAGCTTTGGGTAAACACGATCTATAGAACAGCGTGGATTAGGGCAGCTGTTTACATCGGGCAGACCTGCTGCACTTGGCATGTTGCAAATACTGGATGGAAACACAATGAGTGGACACAGTAATTTACTAAACAAGTTTTTAGCAATCTCTTTGGGATTATGATGTACTTTCTATCGATTGCCTTGTGCTCCAGGAGCTTCTGCAGTGCCTTAGGTGCTTCCTGCACGCATGGGCAAACTTACTTTGGGCTTCATTTAGTTGACAAGCCAAGGCCTTGTGGAAAGTCTTTGTGCACAGCACTGGTGCCTGGGGTGCTGTGCGGGCTCTGGGCGGCTGCAGTCCAGGGGCTGGTTCAAGCAAGATGACCGATGCTCAACTGGAACCTTCCTGAATTAAACAAAACCTGCAATTCCAGCCGCGTTTGCTGAGGCTGGCAGCCCCTCAAGCGGTCCATTATTAGCTGGCCGTTTCTTGTCGCTGTTGTGGAGGTGGCGTTGCTGCAGGAGAGGTTCTCAGGGCTTGTCTCCCTGAATCTGCTCAGTGAAATGGCACACGGGCAGACACTGGCACAGGCATCACCACCGTGCTGGAGGTGACAGGAGCCAAGAGGGGAAGGGGCAGGCTGGGATGTGGGGAGAAGACATAGGTGTGTCGGTCAGCGTGGACATCTCCACAGGCGTGTGCAGGCCTCGCTGGGACCCCCGTCTGCAGCTGCACTGCCATGGGCTCCCTGGGCCCTGCTGCTCCAGGAGGGCAACTGGTTCTGAAAATACAGGATGTGATGGTGTCAGTGTTCGGGGGAAAGGAGGAGTAAGCAACTCCTGCAGTCAGTTTTCCAGAGGCCTTGTGTTGGTGTGGAGCCTGAGCCTTCCAATCTTTCCCTCATTCAGGGAAAGGTAAGGGACCCTTGAGGGTGCTGCTTTTCCATCCTCTAGCAGGGGATGGAACAGGGCTACATTTTGAATACATGCTCAAAAATACTCTGGAAAGCAGTTTATAATTATTGTTGTTATTTATTTCCTTGCTGTCTGTGTTTAATTCTATCTAAGCAGGTATGTAATTGCAAAGGGATTTCACAGACACTTGCAAATGTCTATCACTGTGCTCTGTGTGCTGTATAACATTTGCAATAAATGTACACAAGCACATTTTGGGTACACTGGAATCTGAAGAGGTACTTCAGGGAATAGGTAATATTATTAAGGCTGGAATAGGTAGTATTGCTAAGGCTGTGTTGTAGGCTGCCTGTTCAGAGCAGGCAGCGTTGAATGTGATATGCAGTCAGTCATGTTAAGACTATTTCTTTTACTGGTACGAGTTTACTTCAGCTCTGATTTATTAACAGGTTGCTCTCTTGTCATCTTCAATCTTGTGAATGAAGTAAGAGCAGTTATTCTGTGTCAGACTAGAGGTCTGTCTGGCTCTGTAGCTTTTCTGATGGGACCACTCCCAGGTGCACAGAAGAACTGGAACAGTGAAGTTCTCCTCCTGCTAAACCCTTGTAGCAGTCACCACTCTAGGAGACCTTTGGGCTGGCAGCTCCAGGGAGGAATTAAACTGTGTTTAATAGCTGCTGATGGATTGTCTTCCCTACAAAAATGTCTTAATTAGTTTTGAGAAACTTCATGGCAGTAGTGTTCACAACCTCCTGTGTTGGTGAACTTCTGGTATAATTGTCCGATTTGAAAAGGATTTTATATTTTGATTTTACAATTTTCCATTTGAAGTCCTTGTGATTTTATCTGGATTCTAGAAGAATATATTTGTTTTTAGATTTTCACACAGAAATTAACTGTATGGGGGGATGCTAAGTAATCTTAGAAGGTGGGTGAAGATAACTGCTTTATATTTGCAGTGAGGTATAATCCCAGCCCTGTTTGCAGTCACATTTCATGCATAGGTACCATTATGGCTGTCATATTTAGGTGACTGCATGCAAAAAAATGTTCAAGTACAAGAAGTGTTTTCTGCAGCTGTGTATCCTTGACATAGATTGGGGTGAGTCTTGACTCAGAACTGCTCAGATGACAAAAGAGTTGCTGCAAGCCAAGGAACAACTTCAGCAACATTGTTGGAAGATTTACTAAAGTAAATCTTAGCAAGGGATCTGGTGCAACATTTTAGAGCATGCATAAGAAATGAAGAGAACAGAATTTAAAAGTTGTATTTAAGAACTTGGAGTTAAGTAATACAGATTCCACTAAATGCTGCATGAGGCAGAAAAAGCAGTAACTCAGTCCCTGAACTGTTCTATAGGCTGGCTTCCACCATGCCATCCTCGACCATTTCAAGAATAGATGGGTGGTAACAAAGTTGTGGTTGAAATTCTACTTTTTCTTTGTGTGGCAGAGAAGCAGGATCCTTTGGCTGTGAATTGACCTAGGGTATTTATTTTTGTGCTGGTGGTTCAGGAGTCTGTCTGGGTTCCAGGAGCCCTCTGGGTCACAGACTTCTGGATGCTGGTGGTAAAGTTATGTTTGCTTTATTAAAAGAAGCTCTCCAAAGGTTGGTAATTTATTATCAGAATCATACAAAGGGTATCCTGAGCTGGAAGGGACCCATCAAGATCAAGGAGTCCAACCTTGTCCCTGCCCAGACACCCCACCAGTCCCACCCTGTGCATCCCTGGGAGCATTATTCAAACTCTCCTGGAGCTCCAAGCAGCCTTGTTGGGGCTGTGCCCATTCCTTGGGAAGCCTGGGCAGTGCCCTTATTGTGGTGGCTTCTGAAGTCCTGTTGATAAAAATGGGTAGAATTTTCATGTTTCTAAAGCAAACAGAGATTCTTGATCTTGTCATTTTTTACTACTTTTCCACCCTTAAGCCTGTAAACTTATGATTAAAGTGGGTGGAATTTCAGCCTGATGGTTTACGGATGGGATAATACCAGAGACTGACCAGGCAAACGTTTTGTTTCAAAAATAGAGAGGCTTATATAATGATGCTATACACAACAACAGGATATGGATATGGATAACATCTCTGGAGCAGTGTTAATCCAATAGCATCCCTTGCCTGCATGTCTGCTGTTGCTTGCTTCAAAGGAAGGTAATTCTGGAGTGAAGAGATGCCAGTGCCAAGTGATTTACCTGCAGTATTGATCCAGTCCTGAGCAGACTTTAGGCAGGGCTCTGGATTAGAAGTTTGGAGAAACAGGTTTTTAAACCATTGTGAGCTCCTAATTTCTTACCTGAGTGAGAGAAAATTATTCTTCCTCTTTTTTTGGTAGAGCCCTGTCTGTCTCCGTGTTTTGAGTTGTTCACAGAGATTCATGTCTTAATGCATGGTATGTCCTTAGCAAATCTGAGGCCCCATTTTGGAGAATAAAAAAACAAACCAGTGAACATGTCTGGAAGCATCAGGATGGGCTTAGAGGCCTTCCTCTTGCTATGGAAAGTGTCCTCTGTTTCTTCTCCTTCTGTCTCTCTATCTCTAAGAGAAAAGCACAGGCTTTATCTGTCAAGTTTGGGAAAAGAAAAAGAGCAAGTTCACTTGAAGCATGTATTTAATAGGGAAGAATTCCCAGGATCTATATATACCGGTGGGCATTTTCCCAAAAGTATGTTAGGTGTTGTGGCCATAAAAATGTTGCTGCTAACCAAAATTCTAGCCCTGAATGTATCTATAAATACCATAGCCTCACCCCTTTGGCTCTGTGAAATTATATGTAGCTGGAATAATTTCATACATCAGGACATAAAAGGACCTTGGTGAACTTGTGCTTTTATAATAAACAAGGAAAAGTTTATCTAGGTTGCCCAGTTTATTCACACAAAGACAGCTCTTTACTCGGGGAGGGGGAGGTACTTGCCTCTTAGACTTTCCTCCTTAGG